AGGGCAGTGTCACTGGCCCTCATATGTGGGATCCAAACCGGGGCCCTCTGGCATCCCAAGCCAGTTCTTAACCATCGCGCCACTCGGCCGGCCCCTCAACATCACGTTTTTGAGATTCATTCATGTTTTGTGTGTAGCTGCAAGTCATTCATTTTCCCCTGCTGTCAAGTTTTTCATTGTGTGAATATACCACAACCCATTCATCTATTCAACGGTTGAAGGACATCTGGGCTCCATCCAGTGTTTGGATGATATCACATATGTCTCTGGGTACATGTGTGTGGGATATTTTTCTGGGGTACATACCTAGGAGTGGAGCTGCAGGGTCTTATGTGATTCTTCAATTTTACAAGATAATGTCCAATGGTTTCCAAAGTGGTTGCATCAACTTGCCCTCTGCAGTAAGGTCACCTCTGTGGGCCTCAGTTTCCCCTGCATTTCTTTTTGTAAAATAAGAGGATTGGATGAGGGGACTTCTGAAGTCTCTTTTGGTTCTGATGGTCTATGAATCTGTGATAAAGGAGCCCTGAAGCAGCACTTGGAGCTGTGCATCCTTGAGGCAGCACCTAAGTTATGAGGGAGAGAGGTGAACGCAGCCTGGGCTTGGGATGAGGCCTCCAAACATCCTAGGTGAGGCACAGTCCTAAACTTTTAAGATTGGTGTTGAGATAAAGACTTTGGCCCCATGGAGGCTGGTGACTCTTATCTGTACACTGTGACCTCTGCTTCTGCCTGTCCTTGAGAGACTTCCCAAACATAGAACATGGCAAAAAGAGACAAGAGGCAAAATTAATAAACTCATTCAGAGATAAGTTTAAACATGTGTGGATGGAAAAGGGGCCACATGTTAAACCTGACACGCTTAGGAGACTGAAACTAACCACAGAAGATGGCATGAACATGAAAATTCCTAACAAAGGTGGGCCATGGTGGGAAGTCACATCCTTGGCTTGTAGCTTCCTTGACAAAGGTCAATCTTTACCTTAAGCCTGTCTGTCATCTTTTTGCATCTAAGATAACACACCCTTACAATATCAGAGGAATCTCTTTTTCTGGAGCCCCCAGGGGGCACAAGCCACCACACCAGAGCAGGAAACTACAAAGTCCCTCATCATTATCTTGTTCTTTAAATACTATGCCTATGTACTGTAAAATGCTATTAACTGTCCTGTACCCACCAATGTAAAAGAAGTGTGTGTCTCTCCATTTTACTTTTTATCCAATCCCAGAGATTTCCCCGCTTTGCTTTCTCCCACCCCCTTAATCTACAACCAATGAATTTCATGTAACCTTCCTCCTTTGATTCTAATGTATAAAAGAAGTTGCAAAACAGCCATTTTCTGGAGCACTTGCTCAATCCATTGAGACTTTGCTTCCTGGCAATTGTCGTCAGTTTGGCTCAAATAAACTCTTATAAGTTTTCTCTTAAGCTGGATATTTTTCGTCGACACATGTCAGGTAAAAGTCAAGGGTTAGTGATCTGTGTGTTGGGGAAGCTATGCAGGTTCCGTCTTAGAACAGGAAGTGGTGAATGGCCTCCCTAGGGGAAGGCTTCCTAAAAGAGGAGGGAATTTCATAGGAATGCACCTGGTGGGGAGGAGGCAGTGACAGTTGTTAAGACAGGGTGAAAGCAGAGTTGTGGATGACTCTGGGAAAAGGCTAGCCAGGAGATTTTTGGTCTGGCTGGAAAACATTTCCTGAGCACAGATGCTGGCTGTGGCAGAACCTCCCTGGGGACCTTCCCCAGGACACAGGGGCCCTTGGCT